TTTCCTATTTTGGGGGGTGTTTTCCTGCACTTGTGAATCTCACCTTCCCAAGAAAAAAAAGTCAGATATGTGAATTTTTACCTTCTGGACATATATGTAGATTCAAGTTCTCCCAATTATATGTGTTGATGGGGGATTTTGGTGGGAGAAAGGCAAGAGAGGAAATAAAGCCTAGAGACTATTTCCTGATCCATCAGCAAGACTTTTCCTGATCAATCTGCATGACTTTTGAGCAACAGAGGCAGAATTTTAGGCTTCCAGAACCCAACGTCAGTGGTCTGGTGTGGTCCAAGTGTCAAACCTGGCCATGATGCTTCCAAGCCTGGCCTTCTGGGTGATTTCATGAGCCAGTCAGATATGGTTTTTTTCTTCCTTGACTAAAGTAGGCAGGACATTCTGCTGTGTGGACCTGAGACCCTGACAGACACAGCTGTCAATTGTTGGTTGTTAAGGGCTGATGCTTCCTGTGGCTGTTGGCTGTAAATGGGCCTCATTTCTACTCTGACCGAAAGTAAGATTTCTGAGGTCAGAATGAGGAAGCTGGTCCTAAACCTGCATGCAGCAGTGAGTGGGGATATAACTCCTAAACATTCCCTTTGAAGTTTCTGAACTCTCTGGTCTCTGGAAATCTGACACATTAGCTTGTTCCTTGGCCTATGTCACCTCTTGCCCTCCACCCCTAAGGACACATGTATGCCAAGGCCAGAGATGCGTGATCCTCTAAGATCTCTTTTTCTCTTATCTCACAGTCATCAACTTGTAGGATTTTACTTTATCACTATTGTGTAAATCATTTGCCTTTTCTCCTTCCCCACAGTTGCTGTCCTGGGATTGTATTTGTCCCTGTTTCAGCTCCCTGTCCTCAACCCAAACAGATTTCAGGCCATTTTCAAGGCTACCAAATTCCATCATGTTTTCCCTTATAGTAACTGTTTAAATGAGAATGGTCCAAGTGTTTGAATACTTGGCCCCTGTGTACTTGAATATTTGGTCACCTGTTGTTGAAACCGTTTGGCTGTTTTGGAAGGATTTAGGAGATGTGGTCTTATTGGAGGAGGTGTGTCATTGAGGACGGGCTTGAGGTTTCAAAAGCCCACCAGCTCTCTCTCTCTCTCTCCCTTTCTCTCCCTCCCCCTCCCCCTCTCTCCCTCTCTCTCCCTCCCCCTCTCTCCCTCTCTCTTTCTTTCTCCCTCCCTCCCCCCTCTCTCCCTCTCTCTTTCCCTCCCACTCTCTCCCTCTCTCTCTCCCTATCTCTCTCCCTTGTGATTGTGGATCAGGATGTGAGCCCTCAGCTCCTGCTCCAGCACCATGCCTACCTGCCTGCTGCCATACTCCCCACCATGATGGTCATGGATTCATTCTCTGAAACTCTAAGCCTCAATAAACTTCTTCTGCAAGTTGTTTTGGTTGTAGTCTCCTATTCCAACAATAGAATCAAGGCATCTCTCTGGGATGAAATCCTTCCCTAGCAAGCCGATGCCAAAGCAGCACTGTGATCTTGATACCATGAATGTTCCTAACTATTTTCCTACTCATTTCCTGAGTCCTGCCACCCACCAGCCACCAGGATCGCATCACTGTCTCATAGAATATATGACTGTCTCTTCTGGATAGGTCCTGTATGACATCACACATTTGACACACACCTACTCATCCTTCAGGATTTCGTGAGAATACCACCAACTCTGGGGAAATGCTCCTTCATTTCCAGCAAAGTGTGGCACTTATTGTGTTCCCAACGTGCCTTTCTATAATACTGTACTTTCCACGTTGCTGTGGTTGTTGTTTATACACATATCTTCTCAGTGGAAATAGAACATGTGAGAGATAGGACCAGAGTTCTCTTCACCTTTGTATCCCTAGGACTAAAAGCAGCACCTGACACTTGGGGTCTCTACAGGTGTTTGTGAAATTAACTAATCTGTAACAAAAGCAACAGCAAGAGAGAACCATGAACACATTGGTAACTTTCATTCCCAAATGTTAACTGATATTAAAGATTATTATGGACATAGGTGATTTGTCTGCATGCATGTATGCACACCATATGCATGCCTGGTGCCCAAGGAGGCCAGAAGAGGGCATCTGATCCTTTAAAAGTGGTGTCATATTACCTGTCATATATGTGCTGAGAACTGAAAACAGGCAAGTGTTCTTAACCTTGGAACCATCTCTGTTGTCCCTAAAAAGAGTTATTAAAGTCACACAATTAGTTATACTGTTAGCCATAGCCATCCCTTCTCACATGGGCCACCAGAAGGATTTCTTCCTACACAGGCAGCCAGAGGCAGACTCAGAGAAGGAAAGGAAGCACCTCCTGCTTTACACATACCTAAGGCCTCTGAAACAGTAATTAGTACAGAGCTCACTAGTAGTTAGGGAGTAACTAATAACTCAGTGTTGGCATCTACAAAATTATGCTTTCCCCCTTTTCCTACACAAGCAATGGTTTTCAACACAAGTTGAGGATGTTCCAAAAGGCTGGAAATGGGGAGAGCCATTTCAAACACCACGTGTACTTAAAAGGTACTGCTGCTTGTGGGCGGCCTTCATTTCTATCATTAACTAGGATGGCAGAGGCAAGCATTTGCCAACCCCCACCAGGCAAAGCAGAGGCACAGAACTGAGGGCAGGCCTACTTCCATGCACACACGCAAATCTCTTATAGGAAAGGAAATTACACTTGGAAAGCAAACAGATTCAGAAGGAAGCAGGTGATCATTCACATTGCAAAAAATACCCTTTGCTGTACAAAAGGAGCTCCCACAGGGCACTTTTAAATGGGAAATGCCTTGGGAACGCTTAAAATACCATTGAGTTTATAAGGAATTGATTAAGAACTAATTCTTTTAGAAACCAATCTATTGCACAATGGGGGCACCTTCGAATAGCAGCTCCAGTCTTTACTTTGTTCTTAACGTTCTTGTTGTTGCTAGAAATGTCTACAGAGTAATAACGTGCAACAAAGTGCATAGTTAGTTAGGGTCAGGTGGTTGGGCTTTGAACTGGTTTTTGGCCATGCTGGCGGCTGTGCCCAAGCAAACATCAGCCTGTGTTCATAGATGGAACTGGAGCCAGCAATCTTAAGAGGAAGAAGAAGAAGAAGAAGAAGAAGAAGAAGAAGAAGAAGAAGAAGAAGAAGAAGAAGAAGAAGAAGAAGAAGAAAGGAGTAAGTGTACAGTAGCCCGTAATACAGGTGATTCTTCATATACATACCCATTTTCTTGGACTGCCATAACAAATGGCCACAGGTTGGATAACTTAAGAAGCAGGAAGGCTTCATCTTATATTGCTGGAGAGTAGGCATCAGTGACAGCTGATCTATGCCTCTCTTCTGTCTTCTGGTGGTTTGTTGACAGTTCTCTGACTTCTGTTGGGCCATCACAATCTTTGACTACATCACTATATGCTATTCTCTTCGCGTGCATATCAGTATAACTCTGTCTTAACTGATTGCATTTGCAATGACCCTGTTCCCAAGGTGGGTCGCATTCTAAACTGCCAGAGTTAGGACTTTGGCATCTAAGTTTGGTTTGGCATCTAAGTTTTGAAGCAGACACAGCTGAAACCAAGTCTTAAGTCAGGTCTTAAGTCACTGAAATGTGTTATTGCTGCTGTTAGACATTTGATTTTTCTTGACTGAGATATTGTTAAATGAAATTTTGTTTTTGTAGAAACAGTAAGCCACAAAGAGAAGCCCTTATATATAAAAACTAAAGCAAAGAGAAAGGAAGAAAAACTGGGTCTGAGCTTGGACAGCAGCATTAGTGATTTTTTTTTTTTTTTTAAATCTCACTACCTTCCTGTATCCCTCTCCCTTTAAGGAAAAGTGTACTGTACTCAGCTGGGCTTTGGTCACATCCTGTGTTGTGTGACCCTATTCAGTAGAGAAGTAGACAAACATCCACTCTCTCCCGCTAGGGAATCAAGGACAGACTAAGGTAAGGGAACCACCAGAGCCCAACATGGTGTTGTATGATTCAATGTGTTTTACTGGGTTTATTGAAAAATATGGGCAAGGAGTTACTTATAAGAGCAAAAGTGACTCAGACGGTTGCATCACCAAAAATCCATCCCGACATATGTGACAGCTAACAGAAGCTGGAAACCTAGAGTGCATGCACAACCTGCAGGCAGTTCAATGGGTAGGAGGCTGTCCCTTTCAGGACCCCCAGATTATCTCAGCTCCTTCCAGGCAGCCTGGCTGGTCTGATCTTCTTTTAGGCAGGTCAGCTTGTCTGAGAGTCTGTAGGCAATTTAGTTTCTTTGTGATGGTCTCTCAGCAGTTCGGACTGCTTATATATGCTTGGGGAGGTAGGGGCCTAATAAATCTTGTCAGTTCCACCGGTTTCTTGCAGCCTGCGAGTGAGTGGTTCACTTCCTCAGCTTGATGAGCTTCCCTCCAAGATGGAGGGCTCTGTCCAGGAAACAACACCTTTGCCATGTAGAGAAGTGCAAGGAGGCAGGGTGCTCTGTACACTGCAATTCTTTCTTTGCACGAAGATTTCTCACACCCTATGGAAACACGCTTCAGTCAGACAGAGTATAGGGTTCTGCCTCCAAGGGCCCTGCTGAAGCATGAGAGCAATGAATGGGCCACTTCCTTCCAAGTGTGGTTTCTAATACACACACACACACACACACACACACACACACACACACACACACACGCCAAAAAAGAAAAAAAGAAAAAAAAAAAAAAAAAAAAAAAAAAAGGACTAACTGGCACTACCGTAGTGAAGACTTTGTTACTGTTGGTTAGCTGGAGGTTGAAGGGTCAGAGGCTAGGAGAAACTGTTTGCACTTTGGTCCCTACACAATGATCCTGGGATACTGCAGCAGATGGCTTGTGGTAATGACCCCATTTGTTCTCACCTCTCCATTCACAGGAATTTGATAATGGCATCCCACACTCTTTCCTGCTATAGCCGTTGAACCTTCTTCAACCAATTAACTTGGAAACATGCAGTTTTGTCCCCTTGCTGTTCTTGTGGCTCCGGCCATGGCTACCAAGCTATCAAGCTCAGCTAGTCTACTGGAGGAAGAGACCCCAAGTATATGCAACTGATTCAGTCATGCTTACTTCATCACCCAACTCATGGCTGACCCTCAGGTGTTCACAAATACCTGGGTGAGCCCAGTTAATGTTAGCAGAGCATGGCTTAGGTGGGCAGAACAACCCAGCTAAGCCCAGCAAATACTGCAGAGTTTCACACTTGTGCACTGAAATATGGTTTTCTTTGGGGGGGGATTGAGGGATGGTATTTATGTGGGGTTGTTTCATTGTAAGGTACTTGGTTTGGGAGTGGCTTGTTATGTAACAAAAGCTTTCCTGCGTGGGAGTTTCCCAAGATTTTTTTCTAGTAGTGGTGAAAGCATGTGTGTAAGGTTTTCTAAACAGCCAGGTGACATTGGGAGACCTTTACTAGAACATGGCATTCATCACCAGTCTTGGCTTTCTGCCTTTTGAAAGAAGAGACTTTAGAGTTAATTAAAAGTACCAGTGATAGCTGGGCAGTGGTGGCACATGCCTTTAATTCCAGCACTTGGGAGGCAGAAGCAGGAAGATCGTTGTGAATTCTAGGCCAGCCTGGGCTACAGAGTGAGTACCAGAACAGCCTCCAAAGCTACACAGAGAAACCCTGTCTCAAAAAACAAACAAACAAAACAAAATAAAAAGTACCATGATAATATATAATATAAAGCTCACAGTGTCTTCTCACAATAAAGATGTATTTTTCTCCCTTGTTGTAGTCTGTGTAATTTTTGTGTCTCACACATCTGTGGTCAGATGCAAAGAGGGCTGAGGGCTGGCTAAACTTAGCTGGCTCAGCTGAGATGGCTTATTTCAATTCCACGTAGTGACTCATCTTTCAGAAAATTAGTTTGAACTTGATCATGCTTACATATATTCAAGGAGAGATGCAGGAACCGTGATGGTTAACTTTATGTTGTCAACTTGATTGGCTCACAGGATGTCCAGGTATCTCATTAAATATTATTTCTGTGAGAGTGTGTCTTGAAAAGAGCAGCAGAAAGTTTTGGTGTGCTGAGGGGGGTTCACCCTCTCCAGTGTGGGAGGGTCTTACCTAACCCACCGTGGCCTTGAGTAGAAGAAAAGTATAGGGAAATGGAAGATTCTCTGGCTTTACATCTGAAGGCTTGAACAGAAGCATCAGTCTTCCACCCACAGTTCTCTGGCTCACAGGCCTTTATACCACCAGCTTTGCTGGATCCAAGCTTACAAGTCTTAAGACCCCTCAGTTTTTTAACTCTGTAAGCCAAGATTGCATAACCAGGCTACTTATATGTGTCTATGTATGTTTCCAGTTTATGAATGTGTGTATTCATTTATATGTAGATTTACATGTGTATATCCATCCTACTTCATGTTTCTATGGATCCTTAGTACACAGCCCAGGCTCCTTCCTTCAAGTCTTCCAGCACATCCTCTGAATTCATCCCACAGACACAGGAAGAAAACAAGTAGGGACAATCTTCTGGGACTTGTTTCAGTTGAGGGTGGCATTAATCACTTTCTCTTCATTCCATTTGTGACAGTTAGTCTAGATGCAATAGAGTTAAGCTCATGATCTAGCAGTATGTCAAAGGAAAAGAGAGAGAAAGGGACGGATACTGTGGAGAACCCGTAGTCAGTACCTGGGTGACTTGCTCAGCTTCTCCAAGCTTATTTCACTTGCTGACAAGGCAGGACAGACAGATGTGCTGAAGATGAACACTGTAAGAGCTGAATGAGATTCGGTCTGTGAAGTGCCTTGTGTGAGACCTGGCCCAGAAGAAGAGGTAAAATGATAGTTCTTATTTTGGTTATTGTATAAAAGTGAGACTATGTGGGGGAGGTAATGGCAAAGAAGGTAACCACACATGGGTTGTTCAAAGGTGACTAAGAGAACTCCCTCCAGTCTGTCTCTTCATTCTGACATGTAACCATTTACTCCGGGGAAACGGAGACATCTCAATGTCATCTCACAGCAAGAGGTAGTGAGAATGGTTCACCATGGGAGTGGATAATAACTGGGTACATTTCTGAAGAGAAGTTTGAATTTTTTTATTTGCAATTTTTATAATAAAGCTTATCTAAAAAGAAAAAAAATTAAAAGAAAAGTGAAGCCAACTGAAAATTGGTATATTTAAATTTTGTCACTATGTGCCACAATAGTTACAAAATGGTCTTTCCTAAAAGAAAACATTTTGTTGTCTGAACACCAAACAATTACTAAAGAGCTATAATGGCACAGTATAAATTATAGTTGGCCCCTAACAGAAGAGGTATCAACTATATACTTTGGTTTTGAAAATGCATTAAAGTAGATAACTGTGAAGCCAATCTAGATGCTCAACAATAGAAAATGGACAAGGAAAATGTGTTATGTATACACAATGGAATTTTCCCATAATCCATAAAGAACTTAGTCCTCCTGTTATCAGGAAAATGGATACAACTGTATGCAATCATATTAAGTAATTTAAACCAGTATTGGAAAGGCATATATCAAGCAGGGAACATCAAGAAAGAGGGGGTGGAAAGATTTTAAGAGCTATTGGGCCAGGATATCTGCTGTAGGATAGTGTCTTCTATAAATAACAGGGATGCTGGGCTCCTAGGATCTCAAATATATGGTCATCTAAATTAGACTGTCTCCTTTGGCCAGTTGACATGCCACTATTGTTGATGGAAATATCACAAGGCCCTACACATAGAAGAAGACACACACACACACAACACACACACACACAGAGTACATAACAATAATTACAGAGGAAGAACTCATAAAGGAGAAAGATGGATGGGCAGAAATGATGTAACAACACTCACATATGAAATTCTCAAAAAATTAAGGGTTAAATGTTGAAAGTATTTTTAAAAACAAACAAGTAAAACAAGTATTGTATATCTTGGTTCCCAGGTTTTATATAAATACACAACCCTCCCAACACAAACACATTTTCATACATGCACGCACACACATACACACATCATGGAAGTAGAATTAAAGTGGTCTGGGGGAACAAAGGAAGCCAACAGGAGGAAGGAGGGGCTGAGAGAAGTGGGGACAGAGGGTGCAAGGTCACAATATATACAAGTAAGCAATTTGGGATAAACAAAAGTAATGATAAAAATATATTAAAGCGGCACCCAGAGTTCAGATTCATTTGAGCATGATTTTCAAATTCTGTTCTATTGTTTTAAACTCTTAAGCATAAAGCAATGGGTCACACCGAATGTCAGAACTGAACTGAAGCCATCCATGCATGGTTTCATTGTCACAGTATTATTTGTTTTCAATTTTTGGCTTAAATACAGGAATATCTGGATCCATGAGTGAAGAAAGAAGCTTCTTCAAATGACTTGAGGGATGCTGAGATGTTACTAAGCTGTTGGTAGGGCATCAAGTTTCTTTCCATATACAAAGTCTGTTTGAATCATATGTAATGGAATTTTATTACTTTGCTTGGTGAGAAGGTCGTAGTGAATCTCCTTTGGGTGTTAAATTAGGCTTGGTGTTTTGTGGTCTGTCTTGGTAGCATCTCCTTTCTACTGTGATTCTTGGGTACTCTAGAAGTACGATATCCTCAGGAAGGAGTCTGATGAGGCAGCTGTAGCATGAATAATAAAAACCTGGAGACTGATAGTGGGTTTCAACTGAAGACCATGAAGGCAGAGCAGCCAAGCCAGTAGCTCTTACCTCTCTCAAGGCTGAAATGGAGATCCTGTCTTCCCTGTGACTGAAAACTGACTCTCCACTGTCCTCAACGTGGTTGGAGACTAATTCCCAGCTCTGATTCCCTGCTCCTATCTTATATTCCTCTCTGGTGCTAGGATTAAAGGTGTGAACTGTTTCTCTTTTAGTCTGAGTCACTCTGTCTCTGTTTCCTGAGTCCTGGGATTAAAGGTGTGTGCCATCACTGCCCAGCTTCTATGGCTACTAGTATGACTAGCTTTGCATTCTGGTCTTCAGTGGTTGTATTAGATCATAAACAATATATCACCACAGGGAGCCCTCTGGAATTCTCAGCTATTTATCAGATTTTGGAACATGAAGTCATTTGGAAGGCAGGGAAAAACAACGGCCAATTCAAATGGGACACACACCGAAACACATGGCAGCACCCTGGATTTGTACCTTTGTGTGTTACCTATCTACTTCCCAAACACTTATTTGCTGCCAACAGTCCATATAATAACCCTGTTCAAGTTATTCTCTGATCTGAATGAATAACTGTAATTCTGGGCAGATCTTCCATCCATTACTGCTTTTCAAGCTGCTCCACATTCCTACATTTTTATGTAAATGACATCACTTTTTTTCTTCCAATCTCATTATTTTTCACATTGTACATTTCACCCAGCTTTCTCCTTTCATGTCTACCTTGGGTTAGACTCAGATCAATTTCCATTCCACTCTCCACAAACTATCTCCATGCTCCTGCCAAACAAACACCTCAAACATCACTTTATCACGTCGATGGTCTCTGGAGCAGAGGCTTCCCATGGCTGTTGCATCAAGGCCACCTTGAGGGTGCTGGAATTAATAGTGTGGAGATGCCCAGCTTTCAACTAAAACTGTCTTCTGTATCTAAGGTTAAGCCTGATTCCCCAGGGTGAAACATATAAGTAGAGCCAAAGGAGCACCATTTTTTTCTCCATGCCAATGCAGGGGCTCAATACATATTCCTTGAATTGAGGACAGACCTTTGGCTAGCATTGACAGTGATGCTGAGAGATGCACATCAGTACTGATGGTTGTAGCAGCTGGAGGCGTCATTTCCAGAGACCTTTTGTGAGGTGAAGTTGGATTGCTTGCTTTAACAGTACAGAAAAGAATTTCAAAATTATTCAATTGCTGCAATTAATTAAGAGACAATTTTAATGTAGATTTAAGCTCACTATTGGTGGGGGGCTTAGGAAGTGGATAATAATAACGGTCCTAAAGTGGGCACAGGTTTTCAATAGTTACATTTAAATATAACACACACACACACACACACACACACACACACACAAGTATAGGTCTAGAAGATGATGAGATTAGAACAAAAACAAATTGGAAAAAGGTCAAAGGAATTTCTATTATCCATAGGCCATAAGGAGGTTTAGATATGTTTTGACTATAAACATGATTCATAATTTATGAGATTCTCCTGATTCTTAGCCAGCATAGATGAGAGGTTTCTTTTTCATATCATATTCTCATACATTTCCTTGCATCTCTAAACTGGATTAATGCATGAACACATAACAACCCCCCTTAAGTATCACATTTCGCCCATAATCACCCACTGATTCATTTTTTGAGGGGGGGGATTTACCAGTAGCTGGGTTAGTAAACTGTCCTAAAATTCAATGGCTAAAACTAAATGTTATCGTATGGTTATGTTTGACCTGGTTGACAGTTTATATGCCAGTCTATCTGGTGTTCTTTGGAGTGAGTGGAGTCTTAGCTGGGATCTGCTGGGCCTCTTTTTTTCTTCATATCAGTACCTTTCCCTCTTTGCATGGACTCTCCATGTCATCCTGAAGGGCGGCCTCTCAATGGTGGCAGCCAGACTTCTTATACAGAGACTCAACATCTAAAAAAGTGAAGAAAATGGAGACCCCCAACCATGCACTCTTCCCACTAGCCAGCGGAGGGCCAGTTCCTGCAATGTCATTGAAATAAGTCCTAGGGGAAGTGGGGGATATGGGGGTTGTGGCCCATCGAAGCCACCTTCATGATTCATGTCTTCTGATGTGAAAACTTCCCTCACTTTTGCAAACCTAATGCTGTATGAAATCAGCCGAAAGTCCAGGATCACAACGCAATAGTTGAGATTTCTCTTAGAAACAAAGATCAATAAAGAGAGCAATCCATTTGTCCTCCATTCACCACCACAGAGAGTGAAAGGTTCAGAAAACTACAGCAGCCACTGTTCTAAAGAAGGAAGGGGTTACAGCAATTCCGCAGTTAACTGGCTCAGTCCCTGATTTCTTCCACTGAAGTCAAGGGACACTCCAAGTTCAAACTCCACTTTTGTTTCCTGGGATCATTCCTCTCAGCTTTGGGTTTCAACCTCTGGGCTTTGGGTGTTGTTTCTGAGTCATCCTTCCTGTGTCTAAAGAACGGTATGTGTTTGAAAGTGCATGACTCTAAGCCTCCTTCTTGTTCCACAGGAAGAGGGAGGGCAAACCTCAATTAACCATGTCTCCTCAGAGTCATATTCTTTTGTTGTTGCCTCAGGCATAGAGTCACAGGTTGGCCCTGTGATCTGCTTTAACCAGTGGAATTTTCCAGAAGTCCCAGCTCTAGCCCAAAAACTTGAGATGTCTGATGGTTTCTGATTTTATGCTTTGGAATACCTAACACCCATCTGAGATGTCTGTCCACCTTGCTGGACTGACTTCATGGAGAGTCCACACGGGATGGTGGTGGTGGTGGCTGAAAAATTGTAAGAAGAGTTACCATAGTCCCCTGGTCTCTAAATAACTTACCACCAACTGACATATGCTGGTCATCACACTGGAGAAAGACCCCCCCCCCAAAGAACTTCCACAGTCAACATATGGAATTATGAGAGAAGAAAGTAGCAGTTGTTTGAAACTATTAATCTGGGATGCTTTGTTCTATAATAATGAATGCTCAAGATTTATGCACTTATTCAAAGCTACTGTGCCTGATGCTGTTAGGCCCAACTGCATACAAATTCAATATAGATCCTGAACTCCATCTTGTTGATGTATGCTAGTGAGAAATCTGGGCAAATAGAATTATTTTAATTTCATATTTTAAAGACAAGGGGTTTCTGCACAGAATGTCTTCTTGGTGACTCTTTGTAAAAAGCAATAATCACTCTGAGATTTGTTGTATTTTTCATTTCCTTCAAGCTAGGGTTTTAGAATAGTAAAGCACACCTGAGCCTTTGCAAATATAATTCAATTTAACAAATATTTTCTGAGTGCTTACTATGTGCTTCTTCTATGTATATTTTTTTTTTTTCAGATCTGTCTGTTCAAGTGAGATTGGTTTGAAAATCAGACGCTGCTTCCCACCTGACATCCATTAGTTTGCCTGGGCATTACTGTCCTGAATTACTCAGGGATCCTGGTTTTGCCTATTAGCATATATTCTTGAACTATTATGCCTCCCCTGGCTGTTTTCTTAATGCTTCAGGAGGAATTACATTCAGTTGTTCAGTTTCTAAATGACCTAATTAGCAATACTCTCCCCACTCTTTCTTTATAATCCCCTGTCTCCAATTGGGCTCCCTCCTCATCAGCCTTCTCTTCCTCTCTGAGTCTTACTCAACATTCTACTAATGAGTTCACGTTCCATTGTTGGTCCTCCATGGATTGCTGCCCAGACGCTTGGAAGTCTCTTTGCTTTAATTATAGGGGACGATGTATCTCCTCATCATTCCCTGCTAGACTTTGCAAGCCCTGAAGCTCCAGCCACTTACCTCTTGCCTTGTTTTCACAGGGACAAAGGCTGTAAAGCAGGAAGTCACCCTGGAGACCACGGGTTCCACAGATGAATAAACTTTGGACTAGAAAACCCAGAGACTTGTTCAAAGAGTGACAGCAGGGCCAGACCCACATCTCCAAACCAAGAAGTCTCAGTTTCACTATTTCAATGGGCGCACTATGGAACTGTAGCATACCTAATTTGACTGACCAACTGGAGATTAATAGATTGGTTAATTAATTGATTAAGCTTTAATTAATGAAGCACCTGCTCTGTTCTTAATCTTGAGATTAAAATGTGGATGAAAAAATGAAGAAAAAAGGGAAAAATCTAGTGCATTCAGAAACTGTACTATGCATAGCAATAAGCCATGTTTTTAAGATTTAGAATGTTGGTCAACCTTCTCAATGGTTCTTGTTAACTTATGTGATAAACATTTGTTAACACCAGCTGTATACATATATAGGCATGCACATTCACATTGTGTCACATCCTTACAAATGTCTTTATTGTGCATTCAATTGCAAGTTTCTTGTGGGTTTGGAAGGAAAATAGTAGTGTCATTTTTAAGTAGAAACGTATTCTCACAGTAAACTGGCCTTGTGGTCCCAATTCTTAGACTCATCAGAACATATTCCACAAAAGAAGTTCTTAGACTCAAATGTACTTGTGGGCCATGCAGGTGAATAAATGAGGCTGAGTGTTACACAGATGAAGTGGCAGGGTCTGTGACTGCCTGGAGACCACATATCTCCTTCAAAAAATGCACCCATGTTAGGTGACTATTGCTATGTAGGAATTCCAATAATTCCAGAACTTCTGGATTTTTAAGAAATGCTAGGTATCTTTATTTAACTTTTCAAACATTGGCAATGATTTGGAAGACTAAAAGCCACTGTATAGTCCACGCTAAAGATTCTTACTAGATTCATGCCAGGGTAAGCAGTCTGTCCACTACTTGGTGTATACTCATCCCTTCCCCTTGTTTATAGATGCTCTCATCTCTCAGTAATTCTGCAAGTGAATGACATAGGGGTCATGGTTCAGACAATGCTTAATTATTTACCTCATCAGTCCCTACCTGATTACTGTGAGAACTCAAAGTTCTTCATTATAGTCCAAGAGGAGACAACAGCTGCCTTTGAAGGGAGCCACAGAGGGACTTTGCTTAGTTTGTGTTATTTGAAAAATGTATTGATTGGGGCTGGAGATATGGATTCTTAAGGACCTGGGTGCAATTTCCAGCACCCACATGGCAGCTAACAACTGTTTGCATCTCCAGTTCCAGGGGATTTGATGCCCTGTTCTAGCTTATGCAGGCAGTGCAGACATGTGGTGTACAAGACATACATTCAGGCAAAACACCCATACACATAATATGTTTGAAACAGCCTCAAACAATGTATTGATTATGCTACATGCTGTCACATGCATGCAATTTCAGCCTCTAGAAGGCTGAGGAAGGCTAGGAAGGAAGATCTAGACTTTGAAGCCAACTTGGGCTACAGGGGGGGGGGGCACTGTATCAAAACCAAAACAGATAACAGTAAAATAAAAGGTCCCACCACCAACAAAATTATCTATTCTAGACATTAAAGCTTAGTATTGGCTTTGCCTTCTGATGAGTGTTCTAGATACCTGTTCTTGCATGGACCATGCTAATGAACAGAAACCTTTTATACTGAATCATTGTCATATTTTAAAAATTTAATAAGAAGAGTCTGGTGTCTGCTCAAACTGTACAGTTTAAGGTTGTCAATTGTCTCCTGCACTTTGTGTTCAATTTCATGGTCCTATTGCTTGTCTTAATTCATTTCCTTAATTGTCAAATATTTACAGAGTACATTCTAGGTGTTAGAAACACTAAAAACACAACAGCGAATAACAGAGATGGTCTGTTCTTCCACAGGACCCACTTTCTGCTTGGGGCTAGAGAGAGAATAGCTTAGCAAGGAAGGAAATGAATTGACTACTTGGTTTCAAATGTCGATAACACGATGAACAGAGTAAAATACAGAAATAATGATTGAGGGAAAGATTTTCTGCAAACTCATGAGGTGGAGTCCTGCATGATGAGAAGTGGAAAGCAATCCCAAACTATCTGGGCAGAGGGCTTTAATCAAGGGAAAGCCCTGGGGCCAAAAGCTTGAGGCAGCAATGGGTGTGACATGTTCCTGGGTCAGAGAGCAAACCAGTTTGAATGGAATGTCTAACCCGCCCTTTTGTCCAGCATTCCACAGTGTTTGTGTCTCTAGCACTGATGTGCTTTTCGGATCTTTGTGCCCCTAAACCTGGGGGGTGGTGGTGGTGGTGGTGATGGTGGTGATGGTGGTGGTGGTGGTGGTGGTGGTGGTTGTGCAGCCTCCTCTCTCCAAGGTGCTGAAAAGGGAAACTCCTTCTTGGAGATCTTACTGGCTTTCAGAGTTTCATCAATTACTTGTTGCTTTCATGAAAGCACAGCAGCTTGCAGTTTCATGGAAAAAGTGATATACATAGAGGGAGGAAACTTACAGCATTTGTAGTTTTCTTTTTTTCTGGGACTCAGGGATGTTCTACAGTAGTAGTCAGAAAGATAATTAGCTGAACCGGATGTGTCTCTCCCATATACCAGTTCCTGAATAAACATTGAGAGGCTTAATATTAATTACCAACTGTTTGACCTATTAGCTCAGGCTTATTATTAACTAGCTCTTATAACTAAATTAATCCATTTCTACTATTTTACAATAGAAACAAGCTAGTGGCATGTTACTTCACATCTTGCTTTCCCAGCTGTTGCTGGCATCTCTCTGATTCTGCCTTCTTTCTCCCTGTATCTCTGCTTGGATTTCCCACCTGGCTCTATTCTGCCTGGAAATTGAGCCAAATCAGCTTATTTATTAATCAATGGTAATAAAACATATTCACAATGCACAGAAAGACATTCCATATCAAGGTGGCTAAGTCTCTCATTGGTACCTGATAGCCTATTCAATGGATGGGTGGGATATATATATATATGTGTGTGTGTGTGTGTGTGTGTGTGTGTGTGTGTGTGTGAATGTAAGTGTCAGGATGATGATTCCACAATATCAGACTAGAATAACTAGACAGGTGGTACCATTTACTGAGATTCAGGAAACCAGTAAAGTGGTTGATGCAGAGAAGGGTAAGTGGGGGACTCAGTGAAAAAAGGTTAAGGAATTCTTGTGTCCAAAGATTGATTCTACCAGGAAAAATCCTCTTAGTGCTGTCTGAGTTTGGAATTCCAAATGAAAGTTCCCAATTAGACATGATTACAATGAGAATATGGTCCTACATTGTATTAGGGTTTTCTAGAGGAACAGACCTGATAGAATGAATATATATGAGATTTATTAGACTGGCTTACAGGCTGCGGTGCAGCTTGTCCAACAATCACTGTATACCAACAGAAAGTCCAAGAATCCAGTAGTTGTTTGGGCCATGGGGATGGATGCCTCAGCAGGTCTTCAGTATATGTCAAAATCCCAAAGAAGTAGGCTTTGATACCTGTAAAGGAATGGACTTGCCAGAGAAAGAAAGGGCAAATACAAAGGGAGCAAGCTTCCTTCTTCAATGTCCTTTACATAGGCTGCCAGCAGAAGGTGATGCCCAGGCTAAAGGTGGATCTTCCCACTGCAAATGACCTAGTTAAGAAAAATCCCTCATAGTGTACCTAGCCACTTGGGTCTTAGTTAATTCCAGATGTAGTCAAGTTGACACCCAAGAACAACCCTCACATAAATGGTATTGGCTACTATCATTCTTCAACACCAGATAAAAGGATTTTAACACTTGGTCTAGAAACTTATCTATGCTAACAGGATTACTTCTTAAAGTCAGAAGGCTCCAAAATGTATTAAAGTTAAATGTTTGAGAAGGTAAAAATTGAAGCAATTCCCTGAGGCACATAGATCATTATTATCCAGTTAAGTGGATTTTGTGAGCATATCTGGGTGTTTTGAAGATTGGAGTACAGGTGGTGGACACAACCATCATTATATAGGATAGTGTTCATCAATCATTAAACAAAGTTTCCTGGGCATTTACCACGTGCCAGACATTGTTCTGGGAAATAGGGATACTAAGATAAATGAGACATAATTCTTTCCTTTGTTTTTGCTTTAAATTAGTGATCTCATTAGAGTGTCCTAGGATTTGTCAAAGGACAAAATTATAGTGTCGTATTTACTTTCCTGTTGCTGTGATAACATAACCTAATGAAAGCAACTGAAGGAAGTGAGGCTTTACTTTGGCTCACAGTGAGGTCCATCATGAAGGGGAAATCAAGGCAGCAAGGGCTTGAAGCAGCTGGTCACATTATATCCCTAACCATGAAGAAGAGAATGGCAAATGTTTGTGCTCATCTCCATTCTCCTTCTCATAGAGACCAGGATCACATCCACAGGAATGGTGTTGTTCACTTTTGGGGTGGATCTTCCACATCAACTAACCCAATTCAGTTAACCTTCCCAAGCATGCCAGAGACCATGAAGGTGACAATCACTACTAACTGTCACGAGTTAAAAGTGCAAATTGCATATATTTTTACTCTAGAACCAGGAAACCATTTAACATATAAAACAGAATGGGTATTCAGATGGGAGAGAACAGGGTTTAAAGAAAGTCGAACCCAAACCAAAAGCAGATTTGTTATTTCAAAGTTATTTTCCATATAATGAGAGGACAGACTTGAAAATTGGGAAGTAATGGTAGTTCACACTGGATTATTTCAAGCAACCTTTTGGGGGGGGGGCATAAAGATTAAGGAACAAGTGACTTCATTACCATAACAAAATTTCCCTATATGCCTATATGGAAATATCTCTCTCTCTCTCTCTCTCTCTCTCTCTCTCTCTCTCTCTCTCTCTCTAAGACAGGGTTTCTCTGTGTAACAGCTCTAGCTTTCCTGGAACTAGATCTGTAGACCAGGCTGGCCTTGAACACAGAGATCTGCTTGCCTCTGCCTCCCAAGCACTGGGATTAAAGGTGTCCACCACCACCATCTGGTCCTGTATGGGAAATTTGACTGTTATGTCTCTAATCTCAGTTTCAGCCTGGTGCCTGAAAACTTTAGCATTAGAGAGTCCATCTTTATTTCCAGTCTTGCCTAAAACAATGGCCTGAAATTTCTACTTAACAGATTTGAAGAGGCTCACTGTAGGTCACTTTGAAGAGGAAAGTTTAGCAGCAGCCACAAGCTGCTTTATATTGTTAAGAATTTATTCCAGTTGAAATAGTTTTCCTGGTTATTA